TGGCTCTCCTTCCAAAGAGAGGCGCGCTCCGTCTGGGTGTACAGCGGCGAATTTATCAATCTTTTCATGATCTGACAATACTTGGAAATACATCATTGTCACTGGGGGTGGCTTGATAGATTAGCCGAAGGCGCGGAGCCTTTTTCCAAGGTCAAGTTGAAGATTCTTATTTGGTGTTTAACTGAAGTTGGTTAAAGCCCCGAACAATGCCCGCCTGTTAACTCGCCTCTTGCTCTGGAGAGGAAGCCCCCAAACGCCTTTTCTTATTGATGTCTCCAGGGCCGGGGAGCAGGGGTGGGAAGAGCGGGGTTTTTTCTTTTTGCTCCCCTAAAGGTCTCTAATAAGAGCGGGTTACTAATTGGAAAGAAGAGTTGAGTTAGGACAATATAAGGGCTGCGAAAACGCCTCCGAGCGTGCAGACTCCGGAGCATGCTCTTTTCCCTCTGCAAGGTACCAACTTTTTATGTGTCGCTTTCCCGGCACACACAGCCTCTCTCTTCCCACGTGCCTCGAGGCGCTTTCTTTTTACGAGGTGGATTCCCGAAAGCTTGTTTGCGGCAGGACGGCGGAGAACGGCAGCGGTTGCCAAAGGCTGCCTTTTTACTAGCCTTGAACCTGTTTGTCAAAAGGGCTCTTTGAACTTCCCTTTGCTGGACTGGCGTTTTCCTTTCGGGTCGTCGCAGACTTCTTCAGCCTGAGCCTGGGTTGCGCCGACCATTTCCTCTGCCTTTCGCCCTGAGATGATTGATATTTGTTATTCAATCCAACTTTTATTTACCTTGCAAAAAGAGAAAAAATGTTCGGGGGACCCAATGTGATAAATTACAGATATGCAAATCACATTGAATGGTCTTGTAAGTGTGTCTCGCTGGAGCTGAATAAGGCCTTGCAAGCCGGTCTCTGCGCACTCAGGACCCCAGGGAGCTGATCAAAGCACCCATTCTCTTTCATCCCCAGTATTCTCCTCCAAACTATTTCGATACAATATGTTTCCGTGATGCCCTTAATGGGCTAGGGACACAGAACTCATTACAACCTAGCTAGTTCTGCCGACCCCTTTGTTAGGAGGCAGAAAGTTAGAGAGAAAGAGCGGGCGGGGCGGGCGCGGGGGGAGCGCTGCCAGTTGCCAGCTTTCTGAAGCGCTAAAGCATGCGTCATTTTTCACTAGGTCTCGTCTTGATATCCTCAAAAGACGAACTATGAAACCAGCTTGGCCTTTTCTGGCATTAATTACACTGCTGTCCAGGCGATCTGTTTTTCCTATTATATGCATTTCTCAGCAGGGATGTTTTTTTTTTTTTTTTGCAAGACTTTTATTTATTTATTTTGCAGCTGCCAGTTAAACTATGAATGCATTTTTATCACTATGGGGTAAAAAAAAATAAGAGCAAGAGCTGCATATTCTTATTGTGTATTATTCTGTTTTGTTTGTACCATATTTAAAGAAAACAAATTTGTGATCCAGTTTAACCATTTGGATTTTTTAGTTTTAAAATTCTGCTTCCTCTGATAATATTTCACATTTAATTTTTCAAAATTCAGAATGATTTGATTTTAGTACAGCTTAATCTTAACATAATGTGACAAATTGGTTTCTTTGGCCAAGCCAGTCAGCAGCCAACCTGGCAGAAGGGTCATTCTTCCTATGCCTTAGAGTTATAGCCAGTATTAGTCCTACAAAGAGTGGATCCACTGAAAAGAATTGTATTTACATTGGACTAACTTTGGTCCCAAGTTATTGGATACAACCCTTGAACTTTTGCCTTCAGACTGTAACTTGCTTTTATACTATGATTTTACATTCTAATAATAATAATAATAATAATAATAATAATATTTTAAAAATCAACCTGAAAAATTCCTACCTTGCATCTTATCCTTTGGGAGCAGTTTTCAAAACTCTAGAGGAAACAGCTTGAGGTGGGATGTTTGGAAGTAAGGTCAAGTTCACACATGTACAGTCTTCACTCCATAGTGATATGGCAAATGTGTGGAACAGCTACTGCAAAATCGTATCATTTTCCTATCACTTGGCACCACTTCAAACACAATGCTTTTCAATAGAGAGCATTCGCACAAATGCCTGTATTAACAGTGTGAGGGATGGTGGTGTACGTGCATTTGTGAATTGGTCCTGAATTTGATTACGGTTAAGGTAATGGGACAAATAAAAGGATCCACTTAGTTTGCTGAAGTTGCCATCTTTGGATGCAAATATATAAGCCGCAAGCACTATTCCAGGCATTGCACCTTGATGTCCTTACAACAGGCAACTGGTGCCCTCACTTTAGAAGAGGGAGACAGAATGACCTGATGCACCAAACCCCTGAGGTCTGGATTCCACTCCATGGCCATCACCACTCCAGCCTTTCCTCAGACTGCAACCCATTTGGCCTGGAACTCTGTGGGGGAAAAACTCTTTGGATTAACATTAGGCAAAGTCTAGGCATCTCTTGAATGGCTCTGCAGTGGATCAACTGCTTCTTTGGGCAGCTTTGCTGGCTGCTGGTGCCTCTCAAAGAAAACTCATCAGCTCTCTTTCTCCAGTAGGTATTGCAAGGAAGGCGTTTGTTTCTGGGGTTGATTGGTTGGTGGAAAATGGCTGGCAGCCAGTTCTGGGAAAGATTCCAGCCCTGACTCCGATTAACCCTCTCTGGTGAAACTCTGCTGGAAACCAACTCACCAGCCATTGCCATTAATCTACTTACTAATTAAGCCAATTCATTTCTAAAGGATAAAAAATTCCTTTCTTTGGCCCAAGTGATGGGAGGAAATTTGAAAGAAGCGCCAAACTGTGTAACTGTAATTCAGCCAGGGGACTGCTAGAACAAGCTTGTTGATATATAGCAGGATATTGAAACCAAGTTTCTAGGGCAACAACCCTTTGGAAGTGCCTGTGGCAGACAGAGCAGAAGCCTGAAGAATAGTAGGGGCTGCAGCGGGCCATTGTACGGCTGGGGCACGGGGAAAACACTCCCTGCTTCCCAGGGGGACTTCTAATAATTTCACTACCTCGTCCAGCCTGATGGCTACCAAATTCAGTAGCTGGGTCATTTTAAGGCACTGGACTAAATAGTCTTATGGGGGCCCCCTTTAGATGGCCACGTGACTTACTTCAAGCAAACAGTATTTATTTTCCAACTCTCCCACTGCATGCTTAAAAATGCCATCTGCATTCCTCCTGACAGGTTAAAACCACACCATTCTTTGCCAACGCTGGTGTAAAAAACTCTCCACCTGTGCAATTTGCATTTCAGACTCAAATCGTTGCAGTGCTATGACTACAAGAGTAAAATTGAGTTTGTTTCTGCACTGGCTGCTCTCAGGGTGGCAGGTGATCATGGGGGAGGGGGTGCTCCTGGGCTGTGGGGCAGTAAACATAGTCCCTAGTGGCACCAGTTTTTAGATTCATTATTATGGAGCAGACATGGAGAATCCGGTGCTTCAGGCTGCAGCAATCCAGCATAAGGTGAACTGCTCCACCACCGTTTTTACCACTGCACCCCTGGGCAGTATGGAGGAACACAGGAAGTCACCATAAAATGAGCCAGACCGTGGGTCCATCTAACCCAGTATTCTTGACCCTGACTGGCAGCAGTTAGGGTCCTTTCAGACAGGGATCTTTCTACTTGGAGATGCTGGGGACTGAAACTGGGATCTTCTGCCTGCAAAATTTGGGCTCTGCCATGGAAACATGGCCCCTTCGCTCTGGGAAACTGAATGTAAAGCAGATTATGGCTCCACTTCTCAGGTGCATCACACTCTAATTTCATTTGACACCTCTAATTCCTCTTTTATGCTGAGCTAGAAAGATGGTTAAGGGGAAATTCTAAACTCTGAGGCATTCTGGACTGTGCATTGATCTCTGCATTGAGGCCCACCAGGAGCCAACCCTACTGCCCTTTTGGTACCCTACCATTTCAGAATGTCAAGATGGCCTTCTAATACTTGACTTTTAATGGTGTTTAATGCCATAGGATGGGACCTTAATGCCAACAGCCTTTTAAAAGCATCTAATTTTTGCAAAAAATGTTTTTAGCTTTTTAAATTGTTTTATTTGTTTATATTGAAATTTTATGTGGCACTTTATTATTAGTATTTGTGCTTTGCAATTTAATGACTCTTCGTGAATTGCATGGTAAACTTCAGCTATTGAGTGGCATAGAAATGAAACCATCATCATGAAATCATCATCACTGCACAGGTTTCAAGTTGGAAAGACATCCCCAAGCCAAGGCATGGCACGTTCCAAGGGACAGACAACCTGCTGCCCTCCAGCTGTTTTGGCCAACAAACCACAGTCTCAGAGCATTGGCCTCCATGCTGGATGGGGCACATAGCAGTTGTAGTTCTAAACATCTGGTGGATATCAGGCTGTCTGAGAATAACATGCTTGAACTTAGCCATTATTATTTAAAATAGATTTTAAAGGTTTCTACCATTTTCAATGTTTTCCAAAGCAATGTATAAGACAACCCCCTCCCCCTGCACCAAGTATTAAGAAGAGAAAGGTCAGTAGTTCAGTGGCAGAGCATCTAATTTACCTGCAGTGTGTTCAAGGTCTGATTCCCAATAAGGCACTTTTGAAGTCATCTTACTGTATTAAATACTACATCATAATCTAATCTGGTAGCAGAATGACAAACTTGCTGATGACAAGATTTCTTGTAAAAGTGGGATCTGTAGAATTCAGCCTCTTAACCATATTTTAATCTAGTAACCCAGAGAGATAGGGATGAACATACCTGTTTATTTAATGCCTTGTACTTTAAATAAGAACAATAACCCTCAGAAGTTAGTTCCCCAGGAGGAATTGATGCATCTACAAGAAAAGTGGGTGTTGAAGAAAATTCACTTATACTCAAAGTGTTTGAAAAATTTGCACAGAAAAGCTCATACTTCTTCTGAAACCAATTTTGTTCAGCACTTCTTCTAGAGGTCAGTAGAACTGCTGAAATTATCATCTCTCCCTGGAGCGGCACAGGAATATGCCCAGCAGAAGACTAGGTGCTGCAGAGGATTCTTGCTTTGTCTCTCTCTTTCCCTACGCGTGGTTCCTACCCCATTGTCAGGGTACAGAAGGAAGGGGTGAAGGCAGATGAGGCAATTCATCAACTTCTTCTTCATCTGCAGACTCTGAAGCAAGGTAAAGGTAAAAAAGAAACATAAGCAGATTGAAGCTGCACCTTGGGGTTTGATGTAATGTATTCCACAGTTTGGTTTGGCTTGCAGGGCAAAATCAGTTCCCCACTATTTGGGACCCTGGTAAAGGCAGCACTTGGCATATTGTCTTCTTGTCACCCATCCCTTGAATCAATTGAGCATATATGAGGTGGGAACCTTTTCCCCGTCAAGATCTGCGTTCCAGAAGTGGACATGGCCAGACTGCAATGTGGACAGTCTGGTGGGTGGAGTTATGAGAGGTATTTTTGTTCAGAATAAACCTGGAAAAAAGCCATTTGCATCGAGACGTTCTCCTCCCCCAACTTGTGCAAGATTCTTTCTAGCAGCATTGAATTTGGGGAGATCTAGCAGCATACAGCATAATAGCTCCAAATGGTTCTGCTGGAGGGCATGGACTTGGGAGATTCTGAGGGTTTGTACTAGGAGAGGAGTTGAAGTTCAAATCTGGCGCATGAGCCAGAGATCTGCTCACCATGTCTGAGGTGCATCATCTTAAAAAGTCATGGCAGTCTGTTGCGGCAAACAAGAGAGGGAGGGAGGGAGGGAGGGAGGGAGGGAGGAATCCTGCAGACAACACTTGCAATCCTATAGCACCATTTACCTGGGTAGAAGACAGACTGAACACTGTGCCCTTGCTTCTGAGTAAACATGCATAGGATTCTACTGGGTCCTATTTATTGGGGCAGAAACATTTTGAGTTCTATCATCCACTCTATTAGATTCAAGAAAAGGGTGACATTCCATGTTGCATCTGATGAAGAACACTCCACAGAAGCTTCTGGCACCCCATTAGTCTGCAAGGTGCCACCACCCTCTCTTGTTTTCCACAGGCAGTAGCACCTTTATATAGATAATTGCAGACATCCACCTCCAGATGCTTCACCACCAGAGTGGGCATGTAATTGATGCTCTGTACTCCTCTGCACTACAACCTGCTTCCTATGCCATCCAAGACTCTCGTTTCTTTAGTCAGGGCTGTTGCCAAGTTGGGATCTGGCTTCCTTTAGGGATACTTCCCAGATTTTAATTGTGTTTTATTCTGTCTATTTGATTTAGCTGCCCTTTCTCTTTCGCTCCCTCACGTACCCACTCTCAAGACAATAAACTAGGATGCAATTCTATGTGTGCTTGGGAGGGAGACCCATTAAACTTAGTGAGGTTTACTTGCAAGTAAATATGGCTCTGATTGGGCCATACATCTGTATCCATTGAACTGCAGAGATACAAGGAAAAACACCAGTTGTAGTAGGTCTAATTGTTCACTAAGTAGTATTCAGTTTTGATTGTATTTCTATACCACCTTTCTAAAAATAATTAAATGGTTTGAATTGTTTTTGTAAACAATCACAAAAAGTTCAAAAAATAAAAATCATAATCAATTAAAACATGGAAAAAGTGTTAAAAACAATCTTGAAACTATAAGTATAGGAAAATTCAGATTAAAAATAAAAACTAGTTTGTTCTGTCTAGTGGATGCAAAATCGCTGAGATGATTGAGAAGAACAGGAATTGGTACCATCCTGCCTCAGTTGCTTCCATTGGATGAATTTGCTAAGGGACAAGATTCATGTCCCTTGTCAATTGTAGAAGTTGTTTGGCTAGCAGTGGTACTCAAAGCATGTTTTTTTGTTTGTTTTGTTTTCTGGAGAACACATTTATAGGCACTTCACACTTTTTGTACTATGGAAATTAATAAAATAAGCAGTGTAATTCAGCTCACAGTGAGCTCGGCTTTTGCACTGACGGATGATGGCTCCCCTTTGCCTCCCGTGTGTCATGAGCCTTCCCTCCTACAGCATTTCTGACCACAGGCTTGAAAGGCTGTTGGCAGTGCTTCTACTTCACTACTTGCCAGCTTACTGAGAAAGCAGCAAAAGCAACTGCTGCGAATCTTACTCACCTCTTTCCTAGTAAGGTTTTGTGCTTTTAACAGCTGTAAACCAGACAGCAATTCCAGAGGTGGAGTTATTCTCATCAACTTCATTTGGGGGAAGCTTAGTCCATTGAATTTCTGCTTGTCATTCAACCATTAAAAGTAAAGGTGCCCTGCCAGAAACAACTAACTCCACATCAGCATTCACTAGCAATTTGCTAATGTTTGGCCACTTTTTAAAGCACGGTGCAACAATGCCAAATGTACCGGTGGACTGATTCTGAGGGCCCTCAGCTCTGGGGCAAAGCTCATGCTTTGCATGCATACAAACCTCCCTGAGATGTATCCTTGGCATTGCCAAGGACTGAGGAAAAACTCCTCTCTGAAACCTTTGAGATTTGTTGCTAGCCAGAACTGAGCAACTTGCATTCTTCCAAATATTTTGGCTACAGCTTCCATGAGCCCTGTTTAGTAGGTATACTTTGCTGCCTCCATTGCATGCTCAAACAGCCATCCACTGGGTTCCTTTTGGGTGCCCTGCAGGCTGTTAGTGCTTTCGCCAGCAAATGGGACCCTGGTTCTCTCAAGGTCACCCTGTGACCTTTTTGCATTACTATTTGTGGGCATCTCTACACAAAATATGATGCTGCTGTTAGCACAGATCCAGCTGCGGTGACTTACATCACCATGTGCCCATTTTTGTGGAATAAGTTTCAGTTGCTGCAGCCTAATAACATGGACAAGATGCTTGCAGAAATGCATCTGATCATGTTCTCTTTCAGTCCTTGCCCTGCCTGGCTAATACATGCTAGCTGAAAAGGAAATGACTGGGTGTGTCCAGGGAGTGGTAAAAGTGTCCCTGCATGAAGGGGTGTTCCTGCAATCCATAAGGAGGCAGAAGTGCATGCATTTATTTAAAACTTTTATATGCCGTCCCCTCATACCTTGGCATCTCGGGATGGCTTACAACATAGAATTAAAACAATAAAACACTAACAGTAAAATTATACAGTAACAGTAAAATTATTTGCTTGGGAATAAAGCTGATTGATGCCTGGGGGTACTTTGAAAGCTGGTGGCTATGATGCTATACAAACTTACCTAGGAAGACTCCCCACTGAACTCAGTGGGTTAATTCTAATTGGCCAGATACAATATTACATTGCACAATGAGCTATGATGCAGCAGCTCCCTAATTTAAATCTCATCTCTGCCATTACTTCACTACATAACCTTTGGCAAACCACTGTCTCCCAGTCTCACTCTCCCCTCCTCAATCTGAAATATGTGGGATAATAATATTGGCTTATTCTAAGGATGACAACTATGTAACTCCTGTGAAAGGTTTCGAACACTTCAAAGCATCATACAGATGCTAAGTATTACTTATTCCTAAGCATCTGACAGTGTGCATGCATTAGTTATAATTCAGAGAAGATGTTTAGAGTTAGATAGACACACAGGCTGCAATCCTATAAACACTTATATGGGAATAAGTTCTACTAAAGTCCAATAGGTTTATATCTGAGTAGATTTATGGGATTGCTTTACAATGGTGCCAGCTGCCAACCTGAGTCCAAATACTTATGAATACAATTTCTCTTTAAATCACAGGGCTTGGCGTACAAGCAATATATTTAGGTTGTGTTTAGGTGCAAGTGAGGGCTTTTTCACCTGATACAACAGGCATACAAAGGAGGTGCTTCTGTAGGAGACAGAGTTTCAATGGACACATATAATCTTATTTATTATACAGTGAAATTAGGGTGGTCATCATTTCCTGACAGAGTCTCTGTGGCATTAAGAGCTGCATAAAGACAGAAGTACTGCAGGTGCAGCCTTTTCCTGTCAAAGCACCTCCATGCTGGGAAAGATGTTACAGTTGTTGAACTTCTGCCAGATGCAGCTGTTCAAAGCACAGAAACTTCTGTCAAGAAAAAATAGGTGGTAACTCTATTGTGGTTCCAGCTGAAAATTCTCAGGCAGAGGGGAGGCACCAGAGAAAAGGGTCTGATGATCTCCTTTCACGTGCCATGTTAATTTACATGTTAGATTCTATTCCAGCTGCTGTGCAAAGCTCTTATTGTTCACTCACATGTTGCTGCTTGTGTGGAAAGTGATGTCTTGAGGCATTAGCAGTTAATTGAGTGACGTCACCCGTGCAGCAGTTAGTGAAATACTGCTGTTCTCCTATGAACCTTCCTGTGTTTAGGAAGCAGGTGCCCACGGCATCTCTGAGAGAATCCTAATAAATAACCACCTTCATTCTCCATTGGGAGGTGGGATGAGCAAGCATCTCTTTCTTCAGCGAAGAAAGGGCAGAAGGTAGCCAGACTTGCACTGGAAGGCACTTGCTAACCCATTTGGAATTGGCTGGTTCTTGCACATCTGTAATGCCAGCCTTTTCAGTAAAATAATACATATCATTTGATAGTATACCCATGAGGTTGCATTATCTATGTAAATTATATACAGCACTTTTATTTTATAAACAGAGAATAAATATTTTACACCCGTGACATATGAATCCTAATATAATATTCCAAACTATTTCACTTTACAATGCTTCATTTACAAATGAAGTATTATTCAGCAGAATACAATGAATTATTTTTATGCATAGCTAAAACATCCTGAAGAGTCCTTCACAGCAAATATTGTGGGGGAGGAAGGTGGAAAAGGAATGGAAAAATATCAAAGTTGCACTTGTAAGAAATTAGCAGCTGCAGAAATATATGTGATAACACAGGGAAATAAATGCATTTAAACACTGGAAAATATAGTAATCCTGTTGCTTTGGTTACATATGTAGTTGTTATCAAGACAGGAGTAATAAAACATGAAATTTACAAAGAAGAATCATGGCAGTTCAGCTCTGAAATCTTTGAACGTCAAAATTAAACAGTGAAGAACAAAAGGGGAGTAAATGTTAACACAATGAAAAAAGCCAGTTTCTTCACTTCAAGCCTCTCTTGAGTTTCATAGTAAAAATTGGATGCAAATATCCTAAAAAGACTAATGACATTTCACAGGTAATGCAATTTAGAAAGAAACACTTCCATGTTTTCTTTTCCAACAATGTGCATTTTTGTAAACTGCTATAAATTGCAATTCAAAAGCACTGATCTCGCCATCCCCAATCATTTTTTATACTGATCAAATGAATGCAGATACTCCCATTTGGGAGGGGCGACATGACATTTCACTTGGCAGTTCTAAACAGGTCACGGACCTTTCACAGACCCTAAGGCAGTGGGAGGGAGCGCTTTACGAAACCGTGTAACCAAATCAAACCAATGGTTACCCCCTTTCAATACCATTGGAATGGTTTGCACAATGCTTATTCACATAGCAGCAGAGAAACTGAAAGGATGGTCATCCAATGGAAATGTCTTTTCCTTTGTTTGAACTTAACAGAGCTCCAAAAATACTAGAAAACAATTACATCTGGAAACAGCAAAACCCCAAGCAAACACTGTACTTAGATAGATCTGCAGAGCGGGCGCGTTAGAGACAGAGGTGTGCTTAGATGTTTAAAAGCAGCTGTGCAGGCAATATGGAATTGTATATGGACATTTATGGGAGATGTTGCTTTGTTTGAAGCCATAGGCACAAAGACACAACATGGCTGCCCTGGAGATGACCTATTGCTTTCAAGTTGCTTGAACACATCAGAATTTCCATTGTTAGGGTTGATTAATTGAAACTGATAAGTTACCATGAATAAAGATTGTTTTTCTGTTTAATGTGGTGGGCCTGATTTGGTAAATGCTTCATTCATGTAGCCTTGCAGCGCAGCATATGGGCAAGATTCATTCAGTATCGCAAACATACACAATTTATTATGCTTGTATAGTCACAGCCAAAAGGGCCTTTCTAGTTTAATGTCAAAGTTTGAATGAAAAATTCCATTTAAAGAGTCACTAGTAATGTTACATGTGAGTTTTGCCATTCACCCTGGATTTTAGCCCCTAGCAAATTTCAAACCACTGGGAAAATATAAAAAGTTAAAGCCAAGGATGAAGCAGATGAGAGAGCTCATGGGACATCGGCATTCTTTCAAGAACAAGCAAACAATGTATCTGAACTGTTTGTAGACACCTATGACAAAGGCACTTGTTGCGGCCTGGTGCCACCCTGTGTCACACACTGCTGATAAAGCTATCACTATAATGTTTCAATAAGATACTGTCACTGCAGCTCTGGGATATGACATTCCAGTGCCTTTTGCTGGAGAAAGAGACCAGTTTACAGAATAAGTAAGGACTTTTAAGAAAGAAAAATCAGAAACCAAAGCTCCATAAATCCTTCACTCTTGATGATGCTACCATGTCAGGACTGAAATGTCCTTTGGAAGTTTAGCTGCTATCATGACAATCTCTACCAATTACATGATGTTTGACTTCATAAACAAAAGAAAACCAGGTAACAGTTACAGTGTTGAAGAGAATACAAAAGAAATCCAACCTCCCAGTGTATTTTGGCTGTTTTTTAAAGACTCAAGAAAACTTTGGCAAATACTGACGCACTTAATTTGACATATAACAAAGGTTACATATAAAGTCATATTCCAATTTGCTGGTACAAATAGCTTGCTTGATACTCACCTTTGAGGAATAAAGGCCATAGGAGACTGCATTAAGGACAGCAGCTACTAGGGGATCACGCTCTAGCAAAACACTCAGGGAAGAACTTCCATTATGGGTCTAATCCTATGGACGTCAACACAGAAGTCCTACAACTGCAAGCAGTACCCAGCCAGTAGGCCTTTTAACGGACTAGATGAGCATAAGATTGCACCCTGGATAATTTACCACATATGTGTGGACTAGCAATTATAATGCATGTTAAAGACCAAAGATACAGAATCAAAGGGTGCTAGCTATTCTGTTTATTTAACTAGATCCTAACGGAAGAATGAGTGGATCTAGAGCAAAATGCTACAGTCTGGAGGGCTCCTATTGAGGAGTCCACCCAACAGACATCCCTTCCTTCACTATCCTCCGTTGCCTCGCTCTGCCCTTGCAGATGGTCAGTCCACATTTTGTGCCCACTGAGTCTTCAGTCCCTACCTGGCTGTTTTTAAGTTCATCCTCAGCATTAATTTCCCCAGATGTTTTGGACTTCAGTGCCTATGAGTCCCAGCCAGCACAGCCAGTGTTCAGTTATTTGGGGAGTTTTAGTCCATAACCTCTCAGGGGTGCCAGGTTGGGGAAGGCTGCTTGAATGTGATTGAGAAACAGAACCCAGGTTAGGACTATGCTAGTGATGGTGAACCTTTTAGAGACCAAGTGCCCAAACTGCAACCCAAAACAAAAAATGCTGTGTTTTGTTTTGTTTTGTTTTTTGTCTGATTGTTAAATCATCCTGAGACTTCGGTAAGGGGTGGTTTAAAAGAGTTATAAGCAAACAACCAAAGGGGAAGGGCTTCTAAGCAGCACCCCCTTGACTGCAGAATTATCTTCTCACTGAGGCTGCCTGATGCCAACTTTGTTATTCTTTCAGCACCTGATTGTCATTCTTTCAGTCCTCCATGCTGTGGAATTTAAATAGGTCTAAAGTTATCAAATGGCTTGATGTGGTTCCCATGTCTGGTGTTTTTAATTGGTCTGTTCTGTACTAAATGCTGTTTTAAGTGTTAATAGTTTTTTTAAATAAACTAAAAAAAGTATTATGGGGAAAATCATAATGTTTGCAACTGTATCATGGTCCTGTTAGGAACTGCAATAAACTGTTCAGAGCTTTGCTTTATTGGACAATATAGTAGTTAAATAAATAAAATATCTGGGCCAACACTAGGAGGGAAAATGTTATACGGTTCCCACCTCCATATGCATGTACTTCAAAAAGACAGCAAGGGGCACAGCTGGTTTACAATATTCCAGCAGCCGTCTGAAATATTAAACAAAAATGTCAAAATGTGCTGGATCAGACCAAATTCTGATCGTCCACCATCCTCTTTCACACTGTGGTCATCCAGATGCCTCTGGGAAGCTCACAAACAGGACATGGAAGGCAACAGATCTCCCCTGCTGAAGTCCAGCCACTGCTGTTCAGAGGCATACAGTCAGTGATGCTAGAGACAGCGTGTAGCCATATGGATAGCCTTATCCTCCATTAATTTACCTAAACTTCCTTTCAAGCCAATGAGAATGAGAACATCTGATTTTATGCTTCAGCCAAAGCCAAGCACTTCAAAGTCCCATGGATTCCAATAGGAAAGCAGCTAAATTCTCCAACATGTGTCACAAGGACTTAAAAGTGCCTAACCATTGCAAGATCATGAATTTGCTTTTTCTCAAACCCTCAGTGATGCATTTTTCTTCTACTTTAATTAACTAAAACATTCCATTGATCAATTGTTCAGAGGATCAATTGGGAAATGATCTCTTCATGATACTTTAAAGGTCTGACAATGGCACATGGATGTAAAAATTATTTAAAATGTCTTGTCATGGCCTTTACTGGAACGGTCTGTTAAATCTGACCTGCCTCTTAACCCCTCTTCTTGGACTCACAAAGTAATTTGAAATAGAAGCAAACAGTGTGGTCTATGAGAATAACTGGGGTAGCTTCTGTGCATCAGATATTTCTGTTTGAGCTTTTTCTTATTTGACAAGCCATGCAAAGAATCACTGTTCTTCAGCAGTTTTATCTGAGGGATTCATGTTTTTCTTGTTCATTAAAACTGTCTCTGAAGATTGCAAAGCAAATAGTGCTACCAGACTGTGAGAAAAGTCATGTTGGGTGCATAATAATAAATCTGACATTTATATCACAGAGTAAGAGGTCTTAGTGCTATCCCATTTTATCACTGCTCTTGTTATACTCAGCTAGAGATAATCTACCGGAAAGATGAAAGGGAGAAAATGTTCTAGCCAGCTGAAAAGGCCTGAGAAGCTGAAAGAGCAATCCTATGGTCCCATGAAGTCCTATGGTCCCATGAAAGAGAAATCCTATGGGCCCATAGATTCAATCATCCCAAGGAATGATACAATGAGATAGATTTCTCTTGCCAAGGAAGAGAGCAAGAGAGAGGTCCACTCTCAGAGGGCTGGATCTGAGCATGGATACCAAGCAGTTTCCTGTATTCGTACTGGGATCTACTGCCAGGTAAACATTTATAGGAACTGGCTATTAGATTGTGACCCACTAAGGTGAATGTGCAACCTATGTCAGCCTTCCTGGCCACTTCCAACTCTACTATTCTATGATTCTGTATGATGTAAGGTGCTCATTAACTATCACTCCCTGTTCTACAGTCCTAGATAGGTAGTAAAACCATGATGATTCTCAAGCTCTTGATGGGCCATGAAATTTGGCTAGTGGGCTGCATTTGGCTTGACACAAATGTGTTGGCTACATGCAGAACTTTCTTCATTGACGGTTGGCCTTGATCTGGTCATCGAGGACCATGTTACAGATATTTCATCTTAGCTCACTGAACACAGAGAATTGCTACGATTCTATCTTGAATTCTTATTTCTCTGACTCTTACTGTCTTGTCTTACTTCAAATTAATGTCACAGTGTGCTAAGTGTGTTTCATTGATTCCAGTAGAGTTGATGCATATGGAAGTTTGGATAGATGCAGTTTTAATTGTTTTAATTCTCTATAAGATCTGGAATGCTTATAATGTTCACCTTTGTACACCACCTTGCGTACTAATTGTGGAATGTCAAGATTTTAAGTTTGGTTTATTTTCTTTTTAAATAAAGCCTGTTTGCTTCAAATATAGTTGGAAATAGACAACATCATTTTGGACACATTTTCTCCAGATGAAGCATCTATAAAACAGTTTTGCTAGCAGGATAGAAAACGGATGCTATTATGTTTAGCAGTGGATAGCTTATGTCGCATATAATTAAATGTCATTACTTACCACTCTCATATGCACTGGGAATTTCAATTGTAAATGGAATTTTAGTGATATCAGCATCTTCTTCTTCTGCATCTGAGGCAGTCTGAGAACTTATGTCAGGCTGAACATTAAATAATCCCTTTTAAAAATCAAATGCCATTGTAAATTTAAAATATAAAAATATTAAATTACATGTATGTATTGTTATGCTTGAGCTACTGGCAACATTAATACACAAGACTGAATCTCTTTCAGCCTGAGAGCTCATTTTGGAGAAGCCCTCAGTGGCTGTGTTCCAATTGGGGGGGGGGGGGACACACAAAATACCAGGATATTTTAACTTAAGACTGCACTTACTAGGGAGTAAGCCCCACTAAACACAGTGGGACTCACCTCTGGGCAAATGTGCATGGGCTTGTACTTAGAAGCTTTTACTGCTAGAAATGAAGCTCTAGGAAAGGAACATCAACCTCTTAGGATGGGGAAACACTGTACCCCAAAATAGGCTGCAGATTAAGGTTTTGGTGGGAGGCATGTGCATTTTTGGACTAAAAGAACAAATTAGTTAACTTGATTATAAAGTAGCTTCCTATAGTTTGGTGGAAGAGCATTTGCTTTACATGCAGAAAGTTCTCAGTTTGATCCCCAGATTCTCAACTTGAAATTAAACAGAAGTATGAGAGTCCTTAATGAATTCACAAGCCTCAGTCATGCCAAATCCTTCCTGCCCCATGTAGTCTTCTAAGAACAGTTGCTAAATGTGAGACAATCACAGAAGGTAAGGCGGGCCCTCGGTATGTCCCCTGTAATTTAAGCTTCAGATGGTACGTTCTGTTTGTGATGCTGCAGTGATGTAGTATGTACTAAACTAGTTAGAATCTGATACAGTAACTATTGGCTATATCCAGACCAAAGGTGACATTCTTTGCATGTTTAGACAGAAGAAAGTTGTACGGTTGTGTGCAGGTTGCTGGGAGTTGTAGGCCTTTTTTCTTTCTTCACATGTGTAAGTTTGTACCCTAAATCAGCAAAACTTAGATGCACTGGAAGAGGATTAAGGTTAAGTCATGTCTAACTTGTCCGATTACTTTCATTGGGGCTTAAGTTGAACTGACTTACTCATTCTTAGAAGAGACTCATTCATCCCACAGATTTTAAAGGGTCTTCTGCTTCGTCTTTGAATTGAACCCAGTATGTCTGTTCCCATTTTGCTTTCATGCGAAGAATTACCACTCTTCATTCATTGTGTGTGTGTTCGTGTGCACGCATGGAAGCAGCTATACGTGTCTTGATCCAGATGTACTATCTATGTGATAATTGACTTTGTCTGCTCTTTCATATATCTCAAAAGCCACCTAACAAAATTATTTTTAAGACACATGCTTCACTTCAGCATTCTCTTCTGGAGCAGGAACTATTCTGGCAAAGAGTGATTGTGTACTCTAGGGATGGGCAACTTCAGGAGGTCTAGGGGTCATTTTTGCCAGGTAGCTTCCTACCTTGTGGGACACAGTCTCCCCAAAACAGTGTGTGTGTATAAAAAATACTTGAATGAAAAGAAATGGTGTCCAAACAACCTGGAGCATAGAAACCTATGAAAGGGCCAAATATAGACTCCTTCTCTTAGGAACAAACTAGCTTTCACCTTTTTAGTGCTCTGTATGCCATTTTCCCCATAATTTTTCTCCTTTTGGTGAAAGTGGGGCACAGTGGGGGCCACTCTGGAGGCCGCAGCAGAAGTATGCACCCTGCAGGCATGTTGTTCACCCTGGAGTACACAGTGCTTCCAAAGCACCAACATTATTTAGAGGGCCAGGTGCTAGTTTGGAAGGCTGCAGCATATCTGTGGAGTAGGAAAACAAATCAAATATTAAACTACATACCAGCGGTGAATATCGAATAAATAAACTGCTTGAAAATGATTCATTTTTGCGTTTAATGTTCTGGCTCTGGGTATGCAGAGGAAGAGTCATCTGGAAAGAAAATGGAATACAGGTTATGGTACAGAAATACCATAAATCTCACCTTGCTGTAAAGACTATAACCAGGTGGCCTGTGTGCCATTCTGTTTGGCCTGCCAGCCAGGTGATAAGGGACAACAGCTTTGCAATACATTATCTTTGAACTGGTAATGGACAGGACAGACCCATAAATAGAGGACAGTTCTGTAGCAGCCCTTCAAATAGAGGGTTATCCTTGGAAAAGAGGATAGCTGGCCACCTTGGCAATGAAAACACTTTTTTCTGCTTAGAAAATCCAACTAAATCCTACATTTTGTAAACATTTTAATATCCTTGCTTAAAGTCCCAAACACATGTCTATTTGTCTGTACCTACCCTATCAGCCAATGATGCTCGTCTAAATCTCGTTGACTTACGCAATGACTGCCTAAGGAACATCTCATTTTTAAGGACATGCAAGCTGGAAAAGAAATGGATATTAATCTTAAATTCAATTCTTAAATGATAGACTGACTCCCTGTTCCTCTTCCCATAGCTTCTTTTTTCAAAGTATATGCCCAAGATCTAAAGAACTACTTAGGTATGCCAGAAGGTTTTGCTGTGCTCAAGAAGTGATATGCTTTAAAAAGCAGAACCCTCCCCAATGCCGTATCACAATTTGGTTTTGGATTCCTTCACAGTTCAAAAGTAGCTTGCTGTGTTGTATGCATGGCAAGGACTACTGTTTAGGAAACACAAATCCTTGGGTCCAGGCCTAAATCATTAGGTGTGTACTGGATACACACTACACGTCCATGCTGTTCATTTTAGTGGCTGTGGGAGCTCATCTACTTTGGATGGAGCAGGTCCTGAGGTCAATCTGTGGCATATCCAGGTAAGGCTAGGAAAAAATCATGCCTGAAACCCTGGAAAGGTGCTGCCAATCAGCGTGGACAATACTGGCTTAGACAGACCAATGGTCCAACTCTGTATATGCCTATGTTCCTAATCTGAAGAGAAGAAAGAGACTCCTTACTGCCTTACGTACTTACACCCCCAGGGAATTAGTGATAGCAGATTCCTCTGAATTGTCTTACCCGGCTCTGATTAGCTCACATTTCATGCACCTCCTTTAGTGGACTAGGTTTATTAAAGACCATGTTATGACCAAATGCCCTTTTCCTTAATCTACACATGCAGCAGAATCAGGAATGAGATGGCAGAACAAAGGTCCACTTTGGACTGCAGTATGAGATCCCAATCTTCCTCCAAGGAGCTGAAGGCAATGGTTCTGCCCTCCCGCCACCTCCATTTTCTGGTCACAAGAACCCTTTGCAGGGAGCTAGGCTGGGACAGGGCGGCAGCTCCAGGCTTAAACATCTCTGCTCCTTACAGAGGCTCATGAAGGAGGCAGGCACATGAGTAAAGCAACCTTCAGGGTCTGTTCTCACTGCCCTGCCCTGCCTTTCTTTTCCCCCACAGTACCAGTGCAGACAAATTCTACTGTGGGACAGAGCCTTATCAGTCACTGTTAGTTAAAAAATATTGATTATAGTTTCAAGTAACTTCACCTTTCCTGTAAGCTGGCTTGGAAGGGTATCTACCCTGACAATTAGATATAAATGATTGCAAAGATTGCAGTAGATTATGGTTAAGGCAGTAATACTCTAGTCCGGGGCTCAGAGCTGGCTCCAGCTTTGAAAAGCACTTGGCAAGAGGTCCCCACAGGCCCCTTCCCTCAGGGAATCTCCCTTCTCATTGCCATTGTCTCCCACTGCTATTGCTCTTCATCTTCTTTCTCAGCATTGCTGCCACTCGCTCACTTGCCTGAGAGCTGGGGAGCAAGCAGCCTTCAGCATCTACAGCATCCATTGTCTGGGCCAGAGTGAGAGGCAGGTGAACAAGCAGGTTGTGGGAGCAAAGAGGAGGGAGAACTCCAGGGGACACTTGTTAGTGGACCCCTGCTGGTTTGTGGCCCCTTGGCTGGTGCCCTATTATGCCTATCCTTAGGGGCACCAGTTCTTCACAGGGGACATCTAGTGGCCTCCAAATGATTTGGCCTACAGATCTCATTAGCCCTGGCCAGCATAACCCACAGTGAAGGATCAGGATGCTGGTTTTAACCTATAAAGCCTTACACAGCTTGGGAACACAATGCCCTTTGGAGCACCTCTTCCAGCTATGATCTATTTGGGCACTGCACTCAACTTCCAGCGTTCTTCTCTAAGTTTTGTTTTCATGCATTGTTGTAAACCACTCAGAGAGCTGTGGCTATGGGGTGATATAGAAATGAAACAGACAAAGAAACAAACAATAATCAAGTCCCAGGCCAAACCATCTGGACAGCCACAGGTCTTGCCACTCCCTTGGCTAACCGACTGGCTGTGAGCGGGAGAGGCCAATTTGAATGTCCCTCCATGAAAATAAACTCCATACAAATAGAAAACTAGCACATCAAGGGAAAAGGCTGTTTTTGGAGTCCTTTGCCTGTTGCACTGGGTTTTTTCCCCTTTCAGATATTTTTGTAATGTAGAGGAACACAGAAGAATGTCTCTCTACACCTCCCCCAGCTTGAAGTGGCTCATTCTCTTCTTCCTGCTTGGACTCGGTCTTGCACCTCAGAGCTCCTCTTCAGATGCAAGAGGTTAGGATATGTGTGTGGGGTGAAGCCCATGAAATCTAAATGGAAGTGGGAGAGAGGGGAGAGAATATTATTTAGGGCCAGGCCTCCCAATCTGCTGAGTGAGGAAACCACTGCAGGCAGTTGAGGCTGGTGGGCATCCCTTATCCATTGCAGTTTTTATTCTGAGCAGTGTAGGTGCTATCTACACATGCTTAGAGCTATGATCCTATACCCACATCTGAGAATCTCATTGAACTTAGTAGGACTTAGGAGTCTATTCAGAACTGTGTAAGACTGCACTCTACATTTCCCACTGAAATCAATGTATCTTAAAAAATATTTGTTATGGCTGCATCATGTCCAGCAACAGTCATAGTAATACAATACCTTCTTTTTAAGATTTCAAACTTCATTTTCCAAGAGCGACCTGACTGACGCAAGTCCTGCTCAAGCCTTCAGGGAAGAAAAAAGAAGACCAGCATTTTTTGTAACTGTGGAATGATCAAGCCTTATGTATGAAACCAATTCTTATGTATATAGCAAATTGTTGTGCATATACCTCTGTGCATGCACCTTTGCTTCTTGTTCAGCCTTTTTAAGCTTTGTTATCTCATTAAGTAATGCTTTCTTCTCAGCTTCAGGATCCTTTTGATCCTATAGTTGTCATTATAAAAAAGAGCTATGCATTAGTTATAAATTGCATGTGACATATTGGTTTAGCGCAATGTAAATATTCATTCAATCAATAATTCAGTCAATGACTGATATTTCATCTGCACAGATGTATATTTATGACTATTTACTAACTTTATTTATGACTTACATAAAATAGCAAACATATGTTTTTAAAGCATTCCAAAATCCTTATCAGTGTAATACCTTTTCTAGGCCAACTTAGTAGTCACAAAATACTTTGCAAGATTTTGAGTTCTCCAGGAAGGGAGGGAGGCAGGGAGGGAGGGAGGAAGGGAGGGTGTGGCTGATGCACAAGCTGTTTGATTACATTCTTAAGATGGAAAGTGGAAATAAAATAATTACGAAGTACAATACAGTAGAACAGGCAAAAGCAGCAATAGGACAAAAGTGACAGAGGCCCCATGTTTAAAATGCCATTAGCATCCAGGCTGGGGATCATGGCTGTTGTAATCCAATATATCTGGAAGGCATCAGGTTGAGAGAGCCTGCTTTAGGGGATTGGCATTATTTTAAATCCTTGTTCAGTTACTGAACCAGTTTGGACATTCATATCCTGGCTTAGTAAACTGGGAAATGTACAGGGTGTCTCAAAAACATGACCTCCTTTCATAGTCTAATAACATAGCCGATTCTTGCTCAAATGATCTCAAATTTTAACAAAATGTGTAAAAACTAACTAATGTTAGTTATGCAATGTCACACAAGACATGCTACAGCATGTTTGGCAGGAGGTAGACTACCGACTTGACATGTGTCATGTCACAGGCGGTGTGCATATTGAACATTTGTGAAGCTTTGTAAAATCGGTTATAAAATCTACATCCCTTTGAATCTTTTGTTTGAATTTTGATAAATAAATCGTTTATTGTTCAACATGAAGCCTATTTAATTTCATTTGCTTAGGACATGCAGTTACTCAGATAGTCACATTTCAAATAATGTCAAATTTTTGGGACACCCTGTACAGTCCTTGTACCTACTCCACGGAGTCTTCTTCCTCAGTGTTGCAGTTCACACAAGTAATCTTAAATTGATCAGTACCCCACTACATCTAAATGGGGAAAATATGGTGGCCAGGAAACTTTGTTGATCAAAATTAGATCAAGATCAGATATTCCAAGAGACATGGCAGGGTCAGTGGAAATCTCACTAAAGGTATGTTCATATTTTTGAGGAAATGCCCAGAAATATATTGTCATGATTAGGTATGCTACTGGGATCTCCCATGACAAATAGCACGCAAGAATACAGCTTTCAATTATCCTCATGTTGCAAAAGTCATTAAAAAAAAACTAGTGCTCACCTTTTTGTAATGTGATACTTCTGTTAGGATTCTGTTAGCTTAGAACAATAACTTGGTACATTATAACTAAGAGGGGAAATGGGGTGCGGAGAGGTTTAAGAAACACAGACAGACAGACAGAAATCAGGAGATTAGCAGAGCATGTAGTTTGGCTCAAGACATACTTGTCCCAATTCGCCTCCTTGTTTGGCAGCCGCCTCCTTGGCAGCTGCTTTTTTGGCAGCCACCTCCTTGGCAGCAGCTTCTTTGGCGGCCGCCTCCTTGGCAGCAGCTTCTTTTGCTGCCTTCCCTTTCAGTCCTTTTTTCCCCTTTCCTGGTTTTATTTCCTCAAATGATGCCACCTGAAAAACAGACGTAACAATAACCTCTGAACACTGTGGTTCAAGATTTTCAGGAAATGTTTCTTGATATATGTACATGTCTGAGAACTGAGGTCTCCCTCTGAGGCCATACCCTGAATTCTATCTACAGAAATGTGGCAGGTGGACATGAGAGGCAGGGGGCCAGTTTACACAATCAAAACCAGCCAACTGTGGTTTATTTAAGCCATGATGGCTCATTTCAGTTCCTGGTGCCTGCCAGCACATGCTGGGTGGCCATTTCCTGATTAGCCACCCTGGTGCAGCTTGTTGTGTTGACTGAATCTGGGTGGAATGGCTTGTTTGATCCATGGTCTGTGACTTCTCTAGAATTGGCTCTCAGAATTTGCAACTTCAGGGAAGTCCATCTGGCCCTGTCATCTTCTACAGATAACCAAGACTTCACTGTTCTGGTAGGCTTTTCTTAGATACTGCTTTTTGTGGCTCTCTGGGGCATACTGGGAATTGTAGTCCTTCTTTCTGTTTAAGCATGCATAGTTTTGCAACCTTAAGTGATAAATCATATTGGCTACCATTTTATTTTTCTGATTGGGGATTATTGGATTTTTCTTAATTTTAATTATTTTACTTTACAGTATTATTCTAAATGTATTTTAAAAAATGGATTACTGTTTAGCTGACTTGAGAATTAGTGATAGAAAAGGCAGAGTATAAAAAGTGACTAGAAATAGGTAACATGAATAATTAAAGGCCAGAATTGCCAATTACTATGAAGTAGGCTAGGTATATGTATCAACATCCAGGAAACCAATTTAAATGAGAAAAAAGTTAAATCCCATTCCCATGCTATAGACCTGATCTGAATCATATATATATATACCTTTTGAAGAATTGCTTGTATGATTTCTACTTTTATTTTTAGTTTTTCCTTATCATACAGATATCACGGCACCACAGTTAACTCCAGGCAGCTTTTGGAATGGCACAGTCTAGTTCAGTCACTTCATTGTTAAACCAATAAAACTTGAGGGCTTTAACTAGATGTGTCTTGATTTTTGTAGGCTGGCCTTGTATGATTTGTGTGTATGGTGGGAGGTAAAGTCAAATCAGGATTTGGGGAAAAGGGGACTTTACCCCTCAGCCCTACAATTGTTCCAACCCAAATCAGGTCTCATGTGCCAGCTATTTGAAGGGGGAGAAAAGGTTCCTCAGATGGAAATGGAAGATTGTTTCCCATGGAGACTAGCTGGTGCAAAGAAACCTAATTCAATCAGGACTGTGTTTGGGGCAAAAAGGTAAAGCCTCGTTACCCCACATATGTTCTTCCTTTTAATCTGGTGCAGTCATAAAGGAGACCAGAAGTTTCCACATATATGACATTCGTACATGTATGAACTTGTGAAAACTGTCGTTAGTTTCCATCATAGGTGGTTCAAATGAATGAGGATCAATCCATGTTATATGAATCTGGATTTTTAATCATAATATAAAGTAAACAGTGTTTTCCCAGGTTAGTATGTAATGAGGAACTCTAGTAAATTTAAAATGCTTCCAATTTCCTCATGGCTGTGACAAAGGAGGAGATAGAAATGCATAAACCTTAGGCTCATTCATTTAATATTATACTATCATTTAGGTCAGGCTTCCCCAACCTGGTGCCCTCCAGATGTTTTGGAAAACAACTTCCAAGATACCTGACCATTTGCCATGCTGGCTGGAGCTGAGGGCTGTGGCAACATCTGAAGGACAGGATAGGGAAAGATGGTTTGGAGATTATATCCAAACTGGGGCATTATGTAATTAAATGGCAATCAGAGAAGAAAAGGGAAAACAAGGAAATGATCATCAACTGTTCCTCCCATGTTGTCTCCCTATTTAAATATTCTGGAGTTTAAATATTCCAGGGCATTACTTGGTGGAAGCAACATCCAGATAGAGTTAGAATATAGATCTGTAGGAATGGCATGTATGTTACAACATGTAAACAACCATCTAGTATCCTTTTCCAAAGAGCCTGTTTTTAAAACATGCACAATTTTCCTTGCAGGTCTCAAGTGCAGTGGTACCTTGGCTCACAAACTTAATTCATTCCACGATTCTGGTTGTGACCCAAGTCAAATTTTTCCATAAGATTGAATGTAAATAAGGTTAATCCATTCTGTAACTACTTTTTTATCAGAAAAAAATGAAACCAAGTGACAATGAACTACAAAGTAACAAAGTACTGTACAGGACAGTGGAGAACACTAGCCTAGGTACAGGGGAGGTTATTGTTTTGAGGGAGAGTCCCCCTCCATAAGGACACTGGGGAGATCTCTTTCAGGGGTTTCCTCTCTTCTTTGTGTCTTAGCTGCAGGGTCAATTTTGGTGAAAAATCTTTCTATAGTCACTTTTTTTTGTATTGTCACTTGGGGGTGGGGGGGGTGGGGAGATGGCCGTGATTGTGCTGGTTGGAGGGGGGGAGATGGCCGAGATTGCACCTGTCCTTCCTGCAGGAGCGAGCCCATGATTACGCACGTCTTCCCTGCACAAATGCAACTGCAATCGTGGCCATCTCCCCACTTGGGGGGGTGGGGAGATGGCTGCAATCTTGGTTGCCACCCAATGTGGAGTTTGCAACCCAGGTTAAAATTTTCATGAAATTTTTGTTTGCAACCCGATTTGGTCATGAATCAAGGCGTTCGTGAGCTGAGGTACCACTGTACTGATAATCCGCACCTTGTCTGAACTTTTAAAGACAAACCTCCATTTTTGGCAACATCTGTAGAAAAATGCCAGGTGTATTTTTACTTTTTATATCCCCAGACAGGGCAGAATATTGCTTAACACACAGTATTCCAGTTCATAATATTCAGACTTCTTAATATTGATGGCATATGAACAAAGCACATTTTTGAAATTCACAATACATCTAGCATGTGCCTAGACATTGCCTGAAAGTTTTAAAGCCCAAAATCAAAATTTAGTTAGAAATTTATTGAAATTGAAGTTTGAGAACTTCTAGAAAATGAGACTTTAATTATGTGAGATAAATAAACTATAATTTGCAATATGTTTCTGATTTGTTAAGATCAGTACACTACCTTTTTCTGGATGGTGGGTAGTGTTTAAAGTCGAACTAAATATTGCAGTTTGTGGTTATAGGCATATGAGGAAACGTCAGGCAACTTGAGTACTAACCATAACTGAATGGAATATTCTGTTTAGAACCTTGCAAGTGTTTCTTTTTCTTGTTCATAAATAAAATTTTAGTGGGAAAGCAGGAATGAATATGTATGTATGTATTCACTAGTCAATGCAAAATAAGTTTATCATCAGCGCTGACTATGTTTTCAGTGATACTCAGGAATCCTATTTTTATATATATTTATGAAAAAATATTGTGCAAATATGGCTCAGATATATACAAATATCACTCTTAGGAAACCTTTTGAAATGGCTGCAGGTGCCCTCCACTGTGCCTATCCACAATTCACGCTACTTCACCAAATCTGTGTGAGAAGTTAAATATTTAACAAGAGGTGTGTGTGTTTAACCATAATTGTATTCTATTTTCTCTTATGCTGCTTTATGAAATTCATTGTATGCCCTTCCAGTACTCGCCTGAATCCCAGCCAAAAATACCCAGATAGTTGTGTTTACTGACTTATTCACAGAAAGAGCAAGCTTGTGTTGTACATACTCAATCTGTTAGGTGTGCTTATGGGATGGGGGCAGGGAAACAGCAGAGATCTTTAAGACCTTCTTCAGTCAGATGAGATTGCAGCATGGAGGGCCAGCATCAAGGAAAGCCGGCCATAGATTCACTTCCCAGCAAGGACCCACTTGCAAGCAGCCCCTTTTCTTCACTCTTGCAACCTGATGCTCACCTGCTTCTCACTCTGGCCCGGTCGATGATGGTAGTGAGGAGGAGGAGGAGGAGGAGGAGGAGGAGGAGGAGATGCCACTGCCTCCTCTGTCACCTTGCTCAGTGGCTCTCTGCCTTTCAAGTACGGCAGTGGCAGCTCACTGAGGGTGCCTTTTCCAAGGACACTCAGAAGGTTGGAGCCAGCATTCAGTATGATACAACTGTGAGGGGAGTGGGTACAATCCATGCCATCCTATTTCCTGTCACTAATGGGCATTTGCCTTCTTTTGTGAAGGTTTGGCCCCTTTCATTTATACAGGAATGCAAGAGTCACTTCCCTGCATGCAATCCTGCACTGTTGGGGATTGTTAAAATTAGGCTGGCACCCTGCCTGTGAGCCGGCCTCAGTTATCCATCTCCTGCTAACCATCAGATTTGGTTACTGTAGTACCTTATGTATTGGACTGACTTTGCAGACTGCTTAGAAACCGCAGTTAGTTCAGAATGTGTCTGCTAGATTACTAATTGGGACTGAGTATAAGATCATATTATGTCTGTGCTGTGCTAACTGCACTAGTTTGGTACATTTCTGGACCCAGTTCAAAACCCATTATGTGTTAGGATGGGTAGTTAAAGAACTGCCAGTACACATATGTACATAATAGTCTTTTAAATTCTTCAGTGATCAGTAATTACAGTAGTGAATAATTTAGAAATAATATAACAAAGCAACCCAGTGCAAATATCCTTGGAAATGAATCATGGAGTGAACACTCACAGGAGTCGGCTGCACAATCAAATTAATAAAAGGTTAATTGGGAAAAAGACCATTTATACTTCAAAAATCCTCATTTTGATGGAGAAAAAAAGGAGAGTAGGCATGTATATTAGATAGTCAAAAAAGGCAGGTGGGCATACACTTCAGTATTAAAAATATGAAATACACCATTTCAGTTTTCAACCGGTATGTTGCATATACAGAAGCCAACTATCTTGCCTCTATCTTCTGTTTTCTCTATAAGGTGATCAAAAAAGATTAAGCATACAAGAATTTTCAAAATTCAGTATAAACTCTTTGGCAGCAGTGCAGGGAAAGTTGCTCATGCTTAAGTCCTATTGAAATCAAGAAAGAAAGCTTAGATCGCATTGAATTAAATAATAAGCTTCAGCAATTTTTACCTGATAGGGATGTATAGCTTTTTCAGTCGATAAGTTATTAGGGGATTGCTTTTGAAGGGTTTTGTGACAGTGATAAATGGATTACTGAACTGCTCTCTAAAGTGCAGCAAACACAGACATCTTGATAATATGCTGAATTTTTATTATCTTGGAACAAACTACAGATATTTTGAAACTATTTACACATTATAATTAACTGATCACATTTCTGTCCTTTCTTCTGGAACAGTTTTTAGGCTTAGCTAATCTCAGCATGTGTGGCTTTCCCACTGAATGTCACACTTTTCCAAATATAGGTTTGATTAATAAAGGAAGTCAAATACCTCTTGCAGGCAATAGAGTATCAAAGGACCAGGAGAGTTATATGTGAATTTAGACATTAACTTTTAAGTACCTGCTTGCTGTGTGCCATTATTTGAAATTCGAGGAAGGTGTAAGATAACAGTAACCTTTAGTCAAACAGTGTTTGTCAGCTCTAAATCCAGTCTATCTTTAGAAAAGAATACAAAAGCAATCCTTTATTATTCAAAAGGCAACTGGCTCATCCACATATTGAACAAAACTCCATGGAAAACATTCGGAACATTATAAGGCATCACAGCACTGATAGGCATGGACAGGCAGCTGCCGGGACACAGAAGGGCTGTGCCCGCTATGGGCACCACCATCGCCACTGCTGTTCAACCACATGGCTGGCTACGCTGGCGAAAGGAAGAACCAGGGCTATGCCTGAAGGTCCCATAGCATTCCATTTCAATTTATGTTTTAAAATTTGCATTTTGGGTAGCAGTGATCAGAACCAATGAAATGCTGCCCTTGAGGGGGCTTAGGGTGGTTGGGTGCTGGCACTGGTAAGAGTCTGCTGGTAGCACTATGGCGAGGACCCACTGGAATTTGGTGCTGGCCCTAGGAAGGCACAACAGGCAAAGATTTTGAGCAGTGTAATCTCTCTCTCTCTCTCT